GTTGTTGGTGCTACCTATGCCAACCGAGGATTTACACACACAACCTTTGTGTAATAGAACCTTCTGTAACAACCACTGTTATACATAGTGCCGACTTCTCCACAATGGACCTCCTTCTGGAAATTCCTAATCCAGACTTGTACTCACTTGGACTTTCCACAGTGAGTATATTCAAATATTCGTAGAATCTGTATCTACTAGTACTTAAACCCAAAACCCGCTCGTGGAGAGTTGGATGCCTAGACCACTAGGCCGTGGGATCCCAACCCCATTTTGAAAATTTTAATTAACTATATAAATAAATAATTATTATTAATCATATTTATTCAAATTTTAACCAATTAAAACAAACTTCTGCTATGCTTTTATAAAGTTAAACTAGACCAGACTAGACTTTTAACATCTCTATATAAGAGTACTCTCCTATGTTCTGGTATTGTTATAATCTGTTATAGATTTGGGATATGCAAAAATAAAAAAATATAAAAAATAAAAGAAATAGTAATTGAAACCTATTTTGGTGTATTAATAAAAATATTAAAGAAGCAATTTTCCTATAAGCATTCTTAAACATAACTTCAAATAGCTTTAACTCTAATATTTAATTAATAAATACATATTACAGATCATAATTTAAAATAAAATCTATATTTTTTATTTAATCTTCTAACTTTCTAAAACATACTTATACCTGTTTAATATAAAATACTCTAACCCTAACCCTAACCACCAACCCCTAACCCTAAAAAATACACTAAAAAATTTTATTTTTTAAAATTTTATATTATAATTTCATTTTAATCTAGGTTTTATTATAATCTGCTACGTTAATTTTCACAATTTACTCTACTTTAGCCAACCTTCTAATATGAAAATTATAATCTATATATATATTTAAACAATGAAAGTTTATAACCGATGATTATTTAATTTTTAGTCAATAAGTATTGTATATAATTTAGAGTATTATATAGAACAGTATAGAAAATTTCTGAAAAGTAAGCAATGAATTAAATAATATATAAAATTTGTATATAATTCGGTGTGTATTAGCAATTCTAAAATATATATTTTTTAATAACAATATAGTTAGGGTATGGCAGCTTAGTAGTTGTTACCTCTCCAAGTGGCAGGTCTAGAGTTTAAATCCCACAGACAACGATTTTGAAAATTAAGCCTGTATTTGGTAATGATTATCTATTAATTAGTTGAATCTACAATCTGTAATCTTGGTTGCACCATCTCATTATGGAAGCTTCAGCATATAAATACCAAGAAACCAGGATGATCGAAACCTGTTTGGAAAGACCTGAATAAGGAGTAGTGGAAACTTTTGACAGTGCCACAGGAAGACCGAATTCGGAACTAAAAACTAAGACCAGAGAACTGAGTGACTAGGTCCTTAAGTGGGGGAACATACTAACCAAACTACCGGATCGCCAACCAGTGGAAAAGGACATATGCTCTGAAAGCATATATCAAGGGAAGGGAGACCATAAAGCACCTAAAGCCTGGATAGACCAACCTTTCCAAGTTGCTGGCTAGAAACAAAGAAGAGATCAGTAAAGAATCTAGAAAAGAAAAAAAGTTCGAATGTGAGTACTGGGGTAGAAATGAACCTTACAAGGGCAGAGGATATGTGTAGCTTGGGTAACCGGGATTGCTAGTATATGGGTAAAGCTGTAGTGCAGTATCTCTGAACTAAATCCGGAAATATATAGGATGTAAAAGGATTTAGAGAGGCATCTACTACTTCCTTTCTTGGGTAAATACCAGTTGATTAGATTTGAAGAGTTTATCTATAAAAAGTCAGTAGGAGAATGCTAGCCTGGGTGGCCTTTGTGCAGCACGAGGTGAGATGGTTTGAACCAAACAGGGCAGTGCAGGACTAGAAAATCAGAGAGTTTAAATAGGTAGCTTCCTAGTTGGGTTATAGGTACAACATCTAGTGTAGAACCTTCGGGCAGACTACTTAAATAGGCACCCAAAAGGTGCACGTGTGGCTTGATGTACTCTCATAGATCTAGAAATGTACTGCAGCATGTAACAATATAAAATGTAATAACATTTAACGTTACTTCTAATAAAGTTCGCCTGTCATGGCAATTCGGCAATAAAAAAAAAAAAAAAATAACAATACAGTTCATAGGCAGACATTTGTATAATTGGCTGTTTAAATCAATTTAATTTAGTAGTCAAAAAATTTTTTTAAATATATATATATATAGACCTCTCCAAATGCAAACTCAACCTTTGACCCAAATATAATTCTGAATACAATATTTTTTATTGTTGCATGTTATCGAAAATTCGGTCTCACAAGCGTTTATATATTGCTTAGCAATTACTAGAATTTTCTTCAGTTACCATGTGAAACGTGAATGTTTGTTGTACCCAAAATCTGGAAGCTGCCGCTACCGTTATACGTATTATGATTTTGCATTATAAGCTACTAATACTTTGCATCTAACGAATTAATTTTGAACGTAAATATGTTAAGCGCCAAATGTTTTTAAAGCAGGTTTCGCAGACGCTTATACGGACAAATTTTTTATCTTTATCTATCGCCACTGGTTTTAAAGTTCCTATTAGAAAATTTACCCGTAATCACGTCTCTAAAAGTCGTCTACTTCCTATAATGACCTCTAACTCTTCTCAAGTGCCTCCTATTCCACCACAAAATAAGGAAACTGTCTCTCAAATCTATTTTGAAGGGCGTCCTTTACCCGATAATTTAATCAATTTTTCTTCTCCAACTGGAAAAGACCTTTTTAAACAAGCTCTTAACGAAGGTTATGCAGAAGGCTACTTTAATTTATCTAGTTGTTTCTCCCATCAAATGGATCCTGCTTTTTGCGGCTTAAGCTCTTTATCAATAGTTCTAAACGCTTTACAAGTTAAAGGTGCCCCTGTATGGAAAGGTCCGTGGCGCTGGTGGTTTGATGAACTCTTGAATTGTTGCACTCCAATAGATGAAGTTAAAAAAAAAGGGATAAATTTTTCTCAATTCGCGTGTTTAGCAAGATGTCATTGTGATGTTATTGTTAAGCGTGCTGATCGCACTTCAAAAGAAGAATTCATTTCTGACTTGAAAGAAGTTTGTTCAAGATCGGATGTTTACATGATTATTTCATTCTCGAGGGCTGCAATGAAACAAACTGGTGATGGTCATTATTCACCAATTGGTGCTTACAATTCTGATAAAAATATGGCTTTAGTATTAGATACTGCAAGGTAATAATATTGTTACTTTCTTATAATTTATTAAAAATTAAATAATATTAACTTTTTTTTTTTACTTATAGGTTCAAGTATCCTTCTTATTTCGCGTCTGCTGATTTGTTATATAATTCTATGCTACCCTTGGATAAAGAAACGGGTCTTTCACGTGGTTATTTCCTTCTCTCATATAATCCATCTCACAAAACGATTTCACTCTGTAAGTTATCTTCTGAAGGAAATAATCCTGTGGTAAATTGGACTGCACTTGGCAAAACATTCTGTAAAGATATTCCAGAACGTTTACTATCAGAAAAACCAAATACGTTAGAAGAGGCGGCAAAAGTGGTTTTAACTGATCAACTTATAATGTCTCTTCAACATGTTTTACGAACTGATATTGAAAATTTTAAAGATGAAATTTCTGAATCTGGTGAACGTGACGTTAATACTCTATTCAATGATGTTAAAACGATAGCATTATATCCTATTATTCAATCTGTCTTTCAGAAAATGCAACAAAATACTTCACTTGATTATTCTAATGAAAAACAAGTTATTTTTGCTACACTTTTTCTACTTTCTGTTCCATCCATGCTATTTAAAAGTTTGGAACCAGAATTAGCTAAACAATTGGAATTTTATCGTGATCGTGGAGATATGTCACCTACCTTAAGGAATGAAGTGGAACGTTTGAGTGAAGAAATGAAAGAATTGGTCATGAACTTTTGTATTTGTGAGACTGATAAAAAATCAGGAAGAAATTCTTTTTGTTGCAATGGAAGTAACTAATAATTGAAATGCATACCATTTAGCACTGCACGGACAATTTCGAAGTATATATAATAAAATATTTATAGATCAATTTTATTAAGATAAATTACTTACAGTTATTTGACAAATAGCAGTCATGAGATATTTCTATATGAGTGCTGTTACTTATAAATTAGTTGACTCGCCTATTTTTATATGTAAATTTGTGTAAAAAAATCATTTAAATTTAATTTTTGTAAAAGTATACGTATAAATCTTTTTTTAAATTTTAAATATATGGAGGGGTGCTAGTAGAAACCAAGCAAATTGTTTCTATAAATTTTTTTAAAACTTTAAAATAAAATATCTTAACAATCATCAAACAAAACTTGATAAATTTTTTTTTATTTTAATTTTATGTAGTTATAGAATTAAAATAAAAAAAATTTTATTAAGTTTGGTTTAATAGTTGTTGAGATATTTTGATTTAAAATTTTAAGAAAACTCACCAAAAATGATTTGCTTGGTTTCTACTAGCAGCCCCCCATATATTCTTTGGCATTTAATGATTTTTAGTTTAAAGTCAAAGTTTTTAATCTCTGGTAGATTGAAGTTAATCTTTTATTAAAGTTAGGCAATTTTTTACTATATTCTTTAAGTCAAATAACTGACACTCTCTATACAATAATATGATTGGTTAAAATAATATTTTAAAATTAAAGAAGATTTTTTAAGTAAAAGTTTCTTCTAGTTCTAAAAAAAGTCGTAGAGGAGGTTTTTCTGATTCAAATAGTGGTTAAATCATTAAAATTGGCTTGGTAGATCTCAAGATACTTGGAATCAAAAAAAAGAATATACAGTATTATAAAAATTCACAAATTTACTATTACATGATGTATTATCTCTTAAACTATATTCCAGGGTATATTTTATATATAAAATATTTTATTTGAAACATATTCTATAAGCTTTATTATAAAATTTTTTTAATTTTATTAGAAATTTTTAGAGTAATAGAAATTTAAAGCTCTTGCTTTAAAAATTTTTACTATAAAATTTTTCTTTAAATTTTCTAAATTTT